AACACTAAAATATGAAGGTTAAATAGACGTGATAAAAATACTCAATTAGTAAAAAAGTAAATTATAAAATTTATAATTTTATTTTTTTGTGTGTGTTTGAATTAACAAGAAAGCAATATCTAACAATATTTACTTTCATGTGTGTTTGTATGTAATTCTACGAATTTTCTCACTTGATTTTTTAGAAATCGATAAAAAAAATTCAAAGAAAGTGTTAAAAATTTGAAGTCTTTATCCATTTAATTAACCACATATACTTTATTTATCCCAAAAATAGATTACGATATTTTTTGTTTAGGTCAAATTAACCGAACAGCTTTGAGGTATTCTAACTTATTTACTTACTTTCATTTTGTTAATTGAAAAAACTATTAATTTCCTGTTTTTTTTTGTATTTTATAAAATAAAAAATGGAGTGCACGTTAATGGAATTAATAAATAAAATAAAATTTTGCTACCAAATTACGTAGCTACCGAAAAATTAAAAACACATTTTTAATACTAAGTGTATTAGTAAATATTTAATTTTGATTAAATTTTTTTCTCACTTACCTTATGATATTTTGAAATATTCCATTTTATATGGGTATTACTTTTGAATTTAAATGAAGCTAGAAAGTAAGCAATTGACCTTGAATAAATTATATAATTCCAACTTAATGTTTAAGTAAAAGAGTTAATAAAAAAAAAACTCGAATTCAAAGGAAAATTTTCTTTAATAATATTATTTTGATCAAAATTTTAACCCTTAACTGCTTATGTAATTTCAAACGGTGTTGCTAAACACTGTTTGATATCAACACAATCAAAAAGTAATGATGAAATCAGCTGACGTAAGTTATATAGTAAATTTCACAACAATAACTTAAAAATTGCGACAATTTTTAGTAAAAATTCGTAAAAAGAAATTTCATAATTTCTTTTATTTATTTTTCAAGTTTTCACGTCTATGCATGAAATTTCATGTTTAAGCCTTTTTTTTTATTTTAAATAACTAATTAGATGACTAATTAACATTTTTTTTATTAATAGTAAGAATAACATTAAAAAATAACGTTTATTAGAAATCAGACTACATTAACAGGCAATATTAATACGTATAAATCGTGTCGTGACATTTTGCCGCATGACTCATGTTATAGTAACACCGTAGCAACACTTACGCAGTGTTATATTTTATATTTACAGTTTGATTTCACCCGTAGTAATATAAGTAAAATTTTATTTTTTTTTTTCTATTTTGCTTTTTTAAGTATTTTTTAAATTCCAGTTAACGTAGTATACCCTTATTATGATCGGCGAAGCGAATGGCTAGGCGAATCCAATGACAATTTTAATTATGATCGGCGAATTCTTTCATTCGCTTAATTCAAAATGTTGCTACCGCAAGACATCAGAAAACCTACCGAAAATAATGAGGTTAACACCACTTAGTGTACATATATACATTGTTTTTGTGTTTTTGCAAAAACAATTGAATTTTCCTATTAATGTCGGGGTTGTTGTCCACTAATTAATTTTAAATGCTCGAATTGTTTTTGGTTCGTTTTTTTCACGCTTAAATTAATATCAAACAATTAATATTATTTACAAAAATTTGTAGAATTTTATGAACTTATTCTACAGATAGTTTAGATTTTTCCATTTTATCACTATAAATGCTATAATGCCCAATAAAAAAAAAAGCACATATGTATTAATTTGATTTTGGGTTTCAATTGCCAAGTTTGTCACACAGAATTTTCATTCGAAAGATTTAAATGCTCATTCGCCCAAAATTTAGGCGAATTCGCTAATCATAATATCAAAAATTTATATTCGCCCAAAAATTTCATTTGCTTCACCGATCATAATAAGGGCCGTAATTGGCATAAATTTTGTTTTTAGTTACTCACAAAATATTGAGTGAATTTATTCTTCATCTTTATTTTAAAATAAAATTTTATTTAACGTTAGCAATTAAGGGTTAAATAAATTTTGTATACAAATGAAATTCTTAATATTATTGTCGATTAAAATCATTTAATTTTAATAAAAATAGAATTTTTTGAGAATTTCCAATAAAAATATTTTTGTTTTTTCTCTTCAAATAAATTATGAATAAAAGTAAGAGTTGATATGAAAATTTTTCTAATTATAAAAAAATTTCATTAACATAAATGTTTTAATTTTCCAAAATAAAAATTTATTTAAATTAAAAAAATTTTATTGTTTAATTACTTATGATCAAGGTTAAAATTCAAAATTCTCATTTTATTTAATGTTGTTATTATTTTTTTTACTGATAATATTTTTTTTTTAATATTTAAGAAATACTTACTTACTTATATAAATGATAAGATTTTCAACAATTTAATCAGAAAAATTATTTAAATATTATAAATACTTAAGAGTGTGAAAAATTTAAAGACAATATTAAAGAATTATCAAAGAAGAAAATAAATATTTTTATGATAATAATAATCTCTTATACATATACATAAAATTTACATACTCTCAATTATGAGCATTTATATTTAATATACATACATATATGTATAAGTATATAGCTACAAGCTAGTGTGTTCTCTAGTGTAATTTCTTCTTACTTCAAAAATTATTCATAAAATTTGATAAGTACTTACCTTACATTATAAAATTCAAGTGGTTGGGGAAGCCTAGACTATTTATCTTTAAAGGTTTTCTGTTTTATGAAAATAAAAATAAAAAATTGTCAAGTCATTCCAATTAATTGGATACTTACCACTCTTGTTTATAATCGGACTTTAATAAGTATTCTAACGTGCATCATATTTTTTTGGAAATAATTGAAATTAATTAACTATTTTTGCATTTAATTCAATTTAAATATAATTTTTGATAAATTTATTTAAAATTTTATTATTAATGAAATATTGTTACCTTACTTATTGACCCTAACAAATTTTTAATTATATAATTAAAATAATTGTTTCCTGCTGAAAAAAAGCTGAATCATAAATATAATGTAGGTACATATAGTTGGAATTGGCTTAGTCACAGATGTTGAAATTAAAAATCGGGAATTTTCAGAGATTATCTGTAAGCAAAATGTTTGGGGGAAAATTTAGCTAATAATTATTACTTAAAACTACAAAATATTTAAAATTTTGAATTTAATAATTTTCAAATTTAAATTTTGGAAATTAAATTTAGTAGCCTCAAATTTCAAATTATAAATAACATTTTCGTAGTTGTTACATAATTGATATAGGTTATAAGAATAAAGTCCCAACATATTTAAAATATGTTCAATTTATTACAATTGGCGAATAAAATCACCCGGAACAAAATAAAATAAATAAATTAATTAATTTCCGAGAAAGCTTGAACATTTTATAATTTTTATAATTCATATGGCAACAAAAATCGTTATCACAAAAAAAAATTTGATTACTACTTATCGTTCATACTTTTTAGAATTATAGCTTTTTGTAGTAAGTAAAAAATTTTTATAAATTCTAATCTACAATATTATTTATGATTCAAGTTAAAAAATTTTGTGAAATTTTTTATTATAAATTATGTACATCCATAAATAAATAAACCTTTACCTTACGTTACCTTTTTTATATTTAAAAAATTTGCAGACATCATTCTCACACTGCACAGTTAACTTAGTAATTTCATAGAAATTTTATTTACAATTAAAAACAACAAAAAAAAAAAGAATAATAACATAGGTCATTTCTAGGTAGATTATTTCCACCCATATTCTACGAAATTTATCATCAGTAAAATATCCTTGCCTTTGTGTGTGTGTTTGTGTGTTCACTATACATTGTACATGTGTGTATTTAAAATATAAATAAAATACCATGACCTAAGTTCAATGGAATAATTAACACATAGTCCATAATATATGTAGGTATATAAGTTCTGATAATTTTAAATTAATCCTTAAATAAATTCCAAAATTTAAAAGATTTTGTTTTTATTTTCTAAATAAGAAATAAATAAATTGAAACAAAAATTTTTAGTAAGAATTTAGGATTAAGTAATCGATTTGTAGCTATTATATTTACATTTACCCAGCCCAGGTTAACTTACGTTAATATTACAATATTTTTTTTTAAATATGTAGGTTAAAATTTTGACATCAGCTATGTAACTAGCTTTAAAATTCATTTGATAATTAAAATATTGATGTTTCTAAAAAAAAAACACTGCAGACTTAACGAATATAAATTTTAGTAATATTAGCAGATTTTTGAAAAGTTCGGACTAGTTCGAATAAGGGGCGGAAAACAAGAGATCCGGCGCTACCAAAACGAGCTTAAGTGATTTTTATTATACCCTTCAGGAATCTAGCGTCAGTTTAACTTAATCTAAAATCCAAGTATCGCCAAATTCGTTTTTCTTGAAAATTCATAGGGTTTAAGTATAAAAATCAAACATTAACATTTAATAAAATTTACAGAACCTCCAATTAACTGGTATGCGCCGGATATGTACTACACGCGTTGGGAACATACAAACGTATATAATAATTTACATAAGTATATCGTTGGTACTATTTAATATTAAGGTGTAGGTATATGTGCATGTACATGACATGCATATTAGCAAATGATTTTCTACGAAATTTGAAAATATCGACAAAAATTTTAACCATTATTTTTTTTTTTATTTGTATTCGTGTTAATGTTAATTTTCAAAACGTTTTCAAATTAATTTTATTTCACAAGAAAATCAAACAAAGCTTTTTTTTTAGCGTTTTTCGCGTTTTAATTTTTCTTTTTTTGTTTTTTATATTCTACTAATAAATTTCTAGATAATTATTTATGTCATGATTTCTCTTTTATTTACATTGGAGTTTTCAATACCAAAATGCTAATTGTAATTTGTTCATATTGTGTGTGTGTGTGTGTTTGATCTTGTATATTATATATGAACCTACATATTTATATTTTTTAAAACTAATTTTGTTATCGCTTAATAATCTTTTTTTTTTTCTCTTTTTTTTTTTGTTTCATTTACAGGAAAATGAAGAACTAGTTAAAGTGAAAAATTTTATCAATTTCGATTGTATAATAATTATCTTTAGTATCAAAAAAATTACAGTATATAGACGGAGTAATTTGCTTTTATTATTATTCTTTAGTCTGTACGCGTTGACGTTACTCATTTGTTAAATTAAATTTAAAAAAAAAAAAATAAATAAATAAAAGAAAATTCGATGGGACACCGTTTTAGTAAACCAATTTATAAGGATCATAAAAGTTCCGGTAATGATAATAACACTGCCATCTATGAAATATATAATAATGAAATTGATAATAATCAATTGATGAAGGATAACAGTAGTAATAAATTAATAAATTGTCATCAAAATTTACAACAACAAATATTAAATGTTCAATCACAATTTATAACAAATCCATTAAAACAACCAAAAACAACAGCAGGAACAGCAACAATAACAGAAACATTAACTGATGTTGGAACAATACCAGCATCTCTAGCAACAACATCTATAACATATCCTATGAATAATACCACTATTAATACAACATCATTATCATCATCATCATCAACAACAACATTATCATCAACATCGGCTGTAGGTCAACAATTTATTATTAAAATTCAATTAACAAAAATGGAAACTGATCAACAGCAACCAACAACAACAACAAATTTTGAAATAATTAATAAAACCGAAAATCATCCGAATAATATGAATATTATGAATCATTCAACAAATAATTTTATTAATAATAATAATAGTATTAGTGGTGGTAGTGGTAACAGTAGTAGCAGTGACAATAATATCAGCAGTATCAATAGTAATTGCAACGGCATTGGTACAATTAATAATCTTAATAATAATAATAATATTCGGTTATTTGATAATTCTGATATGAATATAATAGCGGTTTCATCATCATCATCATCAACATCCTCAAAATCAGCATCAGTTTCGAATTGTGAATTTCAAAGTAATAATAACAATCAATGTTTTATAAATAATTTATCAGCAGTAAATAATAATAATAGAATCTTAAAATCACATAATAATAATATGAATATTATTAATAATAGTATAGAAGAGAATATTTATAATAATTCTGATGTAATGAATGATATAAGTTCTCAATTGAATAAATGTAATTTAGATGCAAACAATGATGATGTTATACAAAATATTCCATTACCTGATTATCAAATAATGAATGCGGTTAATAATAATAACAAAAATAAGCAAACTGCAGTCTCAGATAGTATTATTAATTTGGAAAAAGATGTTTGTGGTGAGGATTTAATAATTTTATTACTTTAATTTTTCTATTTCAGCTCTTATTAACATTTTACTAATTAAAAATATCTGTATTTTTTTCATTTTAGATAAAAAGCAGCACTGTTCTCGAAGGAAAAAACTTTTATCATCATCTGCTTATCCCCTTTCAAAAAGAAAATGTTGTAAATGTTCCTGTCGAGATACAGGTAAAAAAGAAGTAATGATTGATTCCAGCAAAAGTAAAAACAACGTATCTTCAGTTGATCAATCTACAAAGTTAACAAAAAATTCATCAGAAAAATCATGGACAGCTCGTTTTACCGGTGGTTTGAAAAATAAAACCGATTCAAAAATTAATTCTCAAAAAACTCAATCGACAAATGATAATCAAAAAAGTAATATAAATGTTTCTAATTCGTTAACTGCAACATCAACAAATTCAAATCCTGTTGGCCAATCTACTACAGCCGCTGTTATGGTTGTACGACCACAAAACTCAAATTCTGTACCAATTCTTGGTGAAAGGTTTCGAAATCAACCAGGTACAAATCAATTAGCTATTTGGGCAGACAATCAAATGTTAGTTGTACAAATTCCACAAGCATCACAGTTAGTACTTGAACGTTTCGAAAATATTGATGCACACGGTAATCGTATTCATACAACAACATCACGATCAGATGCTGAAACACAATCAGAATTTAATGATTGTTCAAATAATGTTAATCCTAATCAATGGCCATCATTAATATCTGGTATTAAATTTACAACACCTATTGGACCTAAAGTACATTCACAAGAAGATTTTATACATTGTTTAGTACCAGATTTAGAAAAAATTACTGCATCAAGCTTTTATTGGGGTAAAATGGATCGTTATGAAGCTGAAAGATTATTAGATGGTAAACCGGAAGGTACATTTTTGTTAAGAGATTCTGCGCAGGAGGAATATTTATTTTCTGTAACATTTAGAAAATATGACAGATCATTACATGCTCGTATCGAACAAATGAATCATAAATTCAGGTGAATATTTTAAAGAAATTTAATTAAAATTTAAAATAGAATTATAATTAAAATTTTTCTATTTAATTTTGACTCATTAATAATATCATTTAATTTTTTAATCTCTTTTTTTTTTTAGTTTTGATTGTCATGATCCTGGAGTATTTACAGCACCAACAGTAACCGGTTTACTTGAACACTATAAAGATCCAACATGTGTTATGTTTTTTGAGCCAATGTTAACAATACCATTGAATAGAAATTTTCCATTTTCATTACAACAATTATGTCGAGCGACAATTGTTAGTAATATATCATATGATGGTATTAATGAATTACAACTACCAAATAGTTTAAAAGCATATCTTAAGGAATATCATTATAAATTACGTGTCCGTGTGAAACCTTTTGATGAAACATTTTATGCATGTTCCTAGTGGTACTGATGTTTACTTTATTTTAAGAATAAAACATTTAAAACATATAATAATATAGGAAAATTGAAAGTAATTAGATGGTTTTCTAAAAGATTTAGAAATGGAAGAAATAAGAAGCAATAAAATTGGCCCTTTACTAATATAATAAATTTTTATATAAATAATTAATAAATGTAGTAAAAAATTTTATATGAAGACAAAACAAAACAAAAAGCACATAACTTTTAAAGCTACAAAAACATAAACTAATTTTTTTTATAAAAATATTTTATTTTTAGAAAAAATAATTAACATATCTGATAAAAAGAATGATAGTGATTATAAAAGAGGGATACTAGATGCTTTCAAAAAATCATTTATTTAAATGTATTGTATGAGAATTAAAATTTTATTCAGTATATATCCCATTAAATCAAAATCAAAAAATAAAATTTAAAAATCATTAAAAATATAAAAGTTAAAATAATAAGAAATTAAATTCTTCTATAGAAATCACTGAGTGGTTCTTTGTATTATAGTGATAATAATTTCAATTTTTCATAAAATATTATCTTATTACACAATATATTTAGAATAATTTATTATTATTATGAGACAAAATTAGAAATAATAATTTATTGCAAATTATATTTATATTTTAGTTTATAACAGTGTGCAGAAGTTTTTTTAATCAAAACTGTATGTATATATATATATATATATATATTAAAAGTTTGATTAATTTTAATTTACAACATAATTATATATTTAAAATATTAATTTTTATATTATGTAGGTGCTAAATTGTTTCATAAGTAATTAAGTTAAGTTCTTTGTTATTATATATAAAAAAAAAATACAATAATCAAGAGGAAAAACAGGCAACTATTCAATACTAAATAATAATTATTCTGATATTAAATAATTTATTAAATTACTTTAATTTAATTAAAAAAAAAAAGTGAATAATGAATACTTTTCCGATTCATCTATTTCTCTTTAATTTATTTTTCTAATAATTGAAAATTTGCAATCCTTATGATGGTCAAAATTTTCATTTAAATTTGATTAAAAAAATTTTTAATACAATATTTTTTAAATTTGTATTCGTTTCAGTTAATATATTATATTAACTGGAAACAATTCTATTATATCAGATTTAAATAAAAAAACCAAAATCTACTCATTACATTTAGGCACCAATATTAAAACAAATAAAATAATACTCATAACGAAAATTAAGATATTTTTGATATTCTTGATTAATGCAAGTATAAATTTTTTAAATAAATGTGTACAACATTTAGGTTCTTTGGAAAATTTGGATTGTTTCCAAATTTATCATATATTTCAAATTAGTTTATTTTTAATTATTTTATTTATTAATAAAGTAAAATTGTTTATATTTTATAAGCACAGATTCATAAATCCATTATTGTTGCATAACTATAATTTTCGAAATGTTTAAAATTTTAAAATTGCTAAATTTTACAAACCAAAAAAAAAAATATTTTACTTCTTTAATTTCCGAGAATATTTTCTTCGAAACTCATCGTTTATGTATGTAATGTAATGTAATTTAATAAATTTACATAAATAGTATTATATAATATATGAATAATTTTGTTATATATTCCATTATATATTATAAAAGCATTTATTTATATTTTTTTAATAATAATAATCAATAGCTAATTTTTTTTCGTTTACAAATAATTGAAAAACAAATAATTCTGATTCTTAATAAAATATTTCTCATACTTACTCGAGCAGGTTCTTGAGTTCATTCATAGAAACATTACTTGATGTAATGTCCATTGTATAAAAAAAATAGAATATTTTAATATTAAATAGAAAATTCACAAATTGTAAAATTATTTCATTTTTTAAAATGACTATCATGATTAGAGCAAATTTTTGTTTTCTCTTAATTTTCTTTTAATAAAACTTTCTTAATTTCTTTTTCTTAAAATAATTTAAGTTAAAAATATTATATAATTTAATTTTATACAAATGTTTGTATAATAGATTAATTAGTATTGTATTTAATAAGTTCTAATATAATTTAATTATTTTTATTATAAATAACAAATAATAGATGTAATAAGAAATATTACTCGTTGTTTTTAGATTAAATACATATTATGTATAATTAATACGTATATATTAAATTTAGAAAATTAAAAAAAAAAAATTAAACCTTATGTACCTAAACAAATATTTATTTATTAAATTTTGAATGTTTAATTACATTATGAATTTGTATAATAAAACTCAAGTAAAATAGAATTAAATAAAAAGTAATTGATCAAAAATTGTTTAATAGAGAATAAAATAGAAACTAAAATTTTTAATAAAAATTAATTTTATTAATTATAATTATTTAATTTCTTGATTTTATTAAATACTTTTACAATAGACAATTAATTTTTTTTTTTCTCATCGTAATTAATAATTTCACATAATTAATTTAATATATGTACATATATTTATATAAATTTTTGTTTAAGAAAAATAATATTTTTTTGTTTAATAAATAAAATATTATTTATTTTAATAACATTAATTAGCAAAATAAAAAGAAAAAAACTAAGTATTTATAAAGTATGATTTTAAAAGTAAGCTAAAAGAAATGAAAGAAAAAAAAAATAACAAAAAATCTTTAGCAAAATAATTTTTCAATAAAATTGAAAAAAAAAGAAATGTAATTTTGTTAAAATGATATTGTTTTATTTATTTTTGAAATTTTAATTGTAGATTTCTAGAAAACTATTTCAGAAACGCTGTTGCATGTGCATTGACTAATTCATTTTCAAACAGAATAGTATTATTGTAGAGAAAAATTTGAAAATTGAAAGTATTTGTTATATTTAAATTTAGGTCCCTAAATTGGCAGTGAAGATCTACCTACCTACTTTTTGAAAAATCTGTTCTATGTTTAAAAAAATCAGTTCTAGATTTTTTATTCTCTTAATTTCTAGATCTTGTAATTTTCATGTTCTGCTAATTTTTCTCGATCTATACGCGTCCTTTAACATATAATAAAGGTTTTAATAATTAAAATTGTTAATATTTTATCCACAAGATTTAATTTGATAAAAGAAGAAAAATAAGAGTAGAAAACAAGAATATATTTAGCAATTTATAAGTTCAAACGATTCAAAACTCTTTAAATATTTTTTATTAATTTCGTCTCATACTATCATACTTGACTTTGTGTGAATTTGAATGTTATCTGTTTATTTTATATGATTTAGAAAAGGTTAATGCTCTTTTATTCCAAAATAAATATGTACATAAGATCAATAAATAACAATTGCTACGAAATAAACTCATTTATTGCAAAAAATTCAATTCTAATAAACTCCTTCTTCTTCAAAGAATACGTACTTATATATATAATTATATCAGGCTGGATTTTAGAAGACAGATACTGGAATACCATGATTATTTACAAAAAAAAAAAAAAAAAAACTGAGCAAATATTGAATTGATCATAACTGCAATTGATATCGCAAATTTTATACAATATTTTTTTTAATCAGAATACTGTTGCATAAATTCTAATTGAGAAACTCCTCAAGCTTTTGTAAATATTTTCTGATTAAAAAGAAATGCGTCCCACGCCCCTCGCAATACACAAATAAAATTCATAATTATATTCTAAATTATCAGAAAATAGCATTTCTTTTTAATGATATTTCGATGAATGAATAAAATTGTCGTAGGCTTGCTTATTGGCCTTGGGTCTACAATGTCTGATAATACTTTTTTTTTTTTTTGAATTTAAAAGAAATTAAAAATATGACACATTCATCTCCCGGCACAATAAGCACGCATTCATAACTGATAACAAAAATTATCTGTTTGCAAACAAAAAGTTTATACTGATTGATTTTTATTTTATTTTAATTTTGTTATAATTTTTTTTTTCTTTGGCTTGCGCTGCAAATGATTTTTTAAATTTTATTATCAGTTATTATTAAGCAGCTGGTAACGATAGTTCATTTCAATCGCTTGTTAATTAATTCAATAATAAAACCAAAAAAATATTGTTAAAGAAAATGTTTTTAAATTTTAAATTTTTTTATATATTTTTATTAATATTTACAATTGGAAAATCATTTCCATTGAAAAATCAAAATGATTTTATAACGGAAACTACAGCAACAAATTTGGGTTTAACGCCACCGGAAATTGTAAGAAATTATTTATAACTAACTATGTTTTAACATTAACGGATATTTCATTTTCATTGTTTCTGCAATATTTTAAAAATTTTCTCTGTAAATTTTAAATATTAAGCTGTACATTTGCGGACTTTCGGTGATTCCGTTCTAACTTAGATCCTTATAAACTATGTTCGATTAATTGTAACTGCAAAATCTGCAAAAAAAAATAGTATGTATGAAAATGACAATATTGTAATTAAAATTATAAAGGAATTTGTGAGTTTTCTTATAGCTACTGCAATAGAATTATTCGAGTATGTTACAAATCTGCAATATATTGAGTTTCTGCAGATTTCAAATATTGTGAAAAAAACTTTTTAATTTAGAACTTTCAGTGCATGTCTGAATATTATTGATTGAATCAATGAAATCTGTCTATAATTAGGAAAATAAATAGCTAGTATGTTATGTACAAAATCACTTGTCTATCTTTACTTATGTACTGTTTTCAAACTTGCAACTTTTAACAGTCCTTCTTCATACAACTAACTTTATGGGCCTTTTAAACAACTGTTTTTATATTACATGACTTGACATATTTTTAAACTCATTACATATTTCTAACAACTAGAATCTACTCGTATATCTATAGGATCATGTTGAGCTCAAACTTTTAACCCGTTCTGACATAAATAGCTCAAAGTCACTTATTGCAGCTCAGAATTAAAATGCAGGGATAAGGGGGATACAAAATATCGATGATATAATTGTGAATCATTTATTTAGCCAAGTTTCAATATAAACACCAGTTTCGGCTCATTAACACATAGATACCCTTAAGATATCGTAATAATTATTTCGTTGATAAAAAATTCATCTGTACGGTCTTCATTGTTCCACTTTAAACAACTCTATTTAAAAATAAGAGCAATCATAAAAAATTGTCATAAATTACATAATCTTAAAAATTACTCACAAAGCTATCATACATGAATTTGAACACTCAGAACAAAAATATTCATTCGCGGAAGAAGGAAGAATAATAGTACAAAGCAGGGATGACGTTTATTTTTAGATAAGAGAAAGTTATTATAATTGCAGAAAATCGTTGGGGGTATTCAAGCTTCAAGTATGATGTTGCTTCTTCATACCCTTCCCATTTCTCGTAAAAGAAACGAAGATGGAGAGATTTTAATCAGTAAAAATTATTAAATTATAAATGGAAAATATTGAAAACATTTATAAATCTCTAAGGGATAAATCTCTTGAGTTATCCCTTGTTATATTGAATATTAAGTGAAAAATCAATGAATAATTTCGTTGTAGATAAAATTTATGAAAAGATTTGGTTATTTGGATTCACAACCATCTTTAGATTTACCAGATGTTGATGCTATCTATAAAGAGGATGCTATTTCAGATGCCATTAAAAATATACAAAAATTTGGAAATATTAATCAAACCGGGATACTAGATAACGAAACATTAAAGGTTAGTTGCTCCAATTCTAAATGCTTCTTCAGATAAGTATATTTCGTCATTTAAATGTACTAAATATTTTCAATTGTACCCATTAAGTGAAGCTGCAAAAAATCAAACCTAAAATTAAAATTGTATGAAATAATTTAATTGTATATTTAAATAATTTACCTTTCTGCAGTTGATGACTTCACCACGTTGTGGTGTGCCAGATATGTACAAGAGTTCAAATAATAACACTCATTCAGTACGATATAAAAGATATGTTGTTGGTTCCCAAAGATGGCAAAAACGAAATATTAAATATTTTATTGCAAATTGGTCACCAAAAATAGGACAAAATCAAGTTATAAGGGATATGAAAAGAGTATTTGACATATGGGCAAGTTACAGTAATTTAAAATTTAAAATGGTTAATGATAATTCTGCTGATATAATAATTGCATTCGGATCTCGCTATCATGGTGATAAGTAAAATTAAAAATTAAAATTAATTTTAAAAAAATCCGCACTGACAATATTATTTATATAATTTCATATTTTATTATTTTTATATAGTTATCCATTTGATGGTCCTGGAAATATTTTAGCACATGCCTTTTATCCATATGAAATGCAAAGTTATGGTGGAGATATTCATTTCGATAATGATGAAAATTGGAAAGAAAATTCAACGAATTTATCTGAAGGTGTTGATTTCTTTTCAGTTGCTTTACATGAACTCGGGCATAGTTTAGGATTAGCACATTCACATGTTTATTCATCTATTATGTTTCCATATTATAAAGGACCAACACAAGCTACATTAGATTATGATGATATTTTAGCAATGTATAATTTATATGGTAATTTTCATTTATATAAGTAGTTCAAATTTTTTTGCTTTGTATTTTATTAAAATTAAAAAAATAATCAAAAAGTTACTGCAACTTTTATTGATGATAACTGGACAACGGATACTTCATCATTTGAAATAACAACTCCGAAAATGATGACAACAACTGAAATTCCAACTAGAATGACATCAACATTTCAACCAACTTATGAAGGGGATTACGAAACTGTAGAGGATTATAAGGTATACCCATATTTTACCAATTATAATTTCAATTTGTTTTCATATTTGGATTTGAAGAACCGTGACGAAAATATTTTTACATCAACTATTTCACCTACATTAATGCAAAATATTTCAACTATTGTACCAAAAATTCTACCAAATATTTGTGATGGTCATTTTGATGCGGTAGGTGTATTTCGTGGAAATCCATATATTTTTAAGGGATCTTATGTTTGGAGATTAACCGACAATTATAAAATTGTTCAAGGATATCCACTCGAAATTCATCAAATGTTCCCATTTTTACCTCAGTCTATTGATAAAATTGATGCAGCTTATGAAAGGAATTACGATAGTGCAATTATTTTATTCACTGGTATATTTTCAAATCCTATCAATTTGTTCAAACAATATTTACATATCTGTGTTTACATAAAGGTAACCAATATTGGGTTTACAATGGATATCAATTACAAGAAAATAGTCCAAGACCTTTGAGCGATTATGGAATTCCTCAAAATATTTCTAGTATTAATGCTGCAATGTATTGGCGTAAATAAAAATATTTTTAAATCAAATTAATTTTAATAATAAGCTTGAACTTGCCAGATGATAACTATGATAAACTATTTCTATTTTGTTCTTTCTTTTAGCTAAAAATTACAAGACATATTTATTTGGTTCAACAGAATTTTGGAGATACGATGATAATTCAAAAAGTCTTGATGATGGATATCCTAAAAGTATGAGCAGATGGATTGGTATTCCTGAAAATATCGATGCTGCTGCTACAATACCAAATGGAAAAACATATTTTTTTAAAGGAAATATTTATTGGTTGTATAATAATGTATGGATAAGACCTGAACCTGGTTATCCGAGACGTGCTTCAAATGCTTGGCTTGGTTGTCCATTACCACAAAAGAGACCATACAGAAAAAATAATAATTATTCATACTGAGAAAATAATAAGAAAGTGTAGAGTAAAATTAAAAATTTTAAAAAATTACTTGAAAATAATTTGTTTTTAAATTTTGTAATTAAGTACATGTATGTATGTATGTAAATATAATACAAAATATATACTTACACATGAGCATGCACAAATTTAACTTATCTTTATTCATAAAATTGGATTGCAAATCAAACCATTTGGATTTGACGTTACATGTAATTTAAATATGTGCAAGTAAATATTCTATGCAATATAGAACTATTTTCTCGATTTTGAACAAGTTCTATGAGTTTGAAACAGCTCATTGCACTGCACTCCTTTAGGAACAAATATTCAAGATTGTCCATAATCAACAATTTCAAAAAAGATTCCACTTTGTTCCACTCAGAACTCCGAAAAATTTTCATTTCAATTCTTGGAGAATAAGGAACGATGAGAATTGATTTGGACTGCGTAGAATTCTTATTTTGACATTTGGTATTTTTTGTTTTTGTTATGAGTAATTAAAAAGTAAAAATTTTTGATCGTATTTGTACGTCTAAGATTTATTTTCATGCCATAGTTTCAATTTGAATCTTAGTCAATATTATTATTTAGATTAATAATAAATTTTTATACTAATTAGTATAGCTAGGGGATAAGCAATAATATGGGAGCACTTTTTGGAAAAAGTAAAAAACCGCCCAGCCGTGTTACAGAACATGATAAAGTTGTTTTAGTGAGTATCTAAATTCCAAAGATAAGATAAAGTTTTTAAAAATAAATAAGAGTTTCACGAAGTTTTACAAATTTTAGCAACTGAAACAACAGCGAGATAAACTGAAGCAATACCAAAAACGTATAGAAATAACATTAGAAAAAGATAGGGAATTAGCAAGAAAATGTTTGCATTCTGGAAGAAAAGAGTAAGTAATTTGAAATTAAAAAAATATAAATTTTTATTTTTTATTTGACAAAATTCGGCATATACACACTCAAATGAACCCTTCTATTAATAAAATTTACAAATTTCTTAAGGCAAAACTCATATGATTTTCTTTTTTTAGGCGAGCTAAATTATTGCTACGTAAAAAGAAATATCAAGAAACTTTGTTGCAAAATACGGACCAACAGCTTGAAAACTTAGAAAAAATGGCTGCTGACATCGAATTCGCTCAAATTGAACAGCAAGTAATAGATGGACTTAAAGCGGGTAATAGTGCTCTTAAAAAAGTACATGAAGTTCTTACAATCGAAGAAGTTGAACGGGTACTCGATGAGACAAATGAGGCTGTAGAAAAACAACGAGAACTTGATGAATTACTATCTGGTGCTTTAACTCAAGAAGATGAAGATGCTGTACTTGCGGAATTAGATGCTCTCGTTGCTGCAGATGATGCAAGTAAAGTTATACCAACCGAAAATATATCTGAAAATTTGCCAGAAGTTCCATCTGATAATTTAGGAGTAGAAGAAGAAGAAGAAGGTAGAACTCCAGCAAAGAAAGTCAAAGAAAATTCTCAAAAAAGAATTCTAGTTGAAGCGTGATATATACATAAATATTTTTAAGATGATAAAATGATTTTTTTTCTAATCAAAAATTTTTGTTTATTAACATTAATGTAGGTAAATATCTTAACCTTTTCCTGTAATTATTAAATTAATTTTCATACAACTGTTACTACGAAGGAAAGATGAATTTCCCTTTTACATTTTGTTAATATTGATCTAGTGGGCACATGAATCATATGAGTTTAATGTAAAATGCAAAAGCTTATAGCAAAATTTTTCGCTTATAAACGACTTTAATTTAAAAAACGATAAACAATTATTATTAAAAAATTATGTAATAAGTATTTTATTGGCTCACAAAAATAAATTACTTGCTTATATTGAAAAAAATCTCAATTAAAAGTTTACAATATTTTGATTTCATTAATTTCTACTTCATTGAATCATTCAAGATAATTTTTTTTGTAATCACTTCTCTATAGAATACAGAATTTTCAAATTGAAATGGCCATGTTTAATTACAAAAACGCTTATATTCATTTATTCATAAGAATATTTTTATTAGGAAAAATTAAATTGATTTAATTTAATATTTTTTATTCTTCTATGTGCCTATTCATTTAACCATCACTTCTTAACTTTTACTTTTTTATTAGGAAAATCTTTAATTTTAACTTCTTCTATAATTTTTGGTAAATATTTTTCTATTAAATCATCTGTGGTTGTTTCAAAATTATCATTCGCCCATATTAATTTTAATTGTTTCATGACTTCACCTAAAGCTTCACCTTTCAATGAAGTTTTTTCTTTTAGTACATGTCCATTAATTTTAAAATAAGGAATTTTCCAAGCTTTAAATTCCTTATATATTTCCCATTTTCCGAGGTATTTAAGAAGTTCTTCAATAAAATCTTTTCTTGCATATGGTTCCAGCGACAATTTTTTGTATACTCTAAAAAAATAAAATAAGGATTTGATGTAAAAAAAGTGTCAAAGATTTTATTTAAAGAACTTACAAAATATCATCGATTTCTTTAAATTTATCTCGATTTTGTGTAATAAAAAAGGCGGTGTCACGTTCACTTGCAGATAATTTTAGTCTTTCGTGAAGTTTAGCGGCATCTTCGGCTGTTTCAAGTAACGGTATTAAATATGTTATTGGCAAAAAGTCTTCATCGCTTTGTGATCTTAACTCAAATAGTTTCTCAAAATCTTTTGTTGAAGACGTTTTAGGAAGGCCAATGTACTCAAACATGTTACACTCCTTTATTTTTAGTATAAGTTCTTTAGCAAAATTCCCTAGTAACGTTTTTTTCAATTCACCCCAAATTCTTTCACCACTAATTTTGGCTAAACCATCGACATTTTCTTTAATAGCTTTAATTGTACTTTCCTCATGATTATTAGGATCTGTGGCTATGCGACCATAAAATCTTGATATTTCAAAATAGAATACATAAATATGTCTTTATGAAAGTTTAAGTCAATACCAACCTAAAATATCTTAATATTCTTAAATAGTCCTCTTTTATTCTTCTATCTGCGTTACCAACAAAAGCAATTCTACGATTTTTTAAATCTTCATAACCAAAAAAGTAATCATATACTGAACCATCAGCTCCTTTAAATAATGTTTATGTTAGAATTTTATCGAAAATTAAAGTGCAATACTAACCAAGAAACATAGAGTTTATTGTAAGATCTCTTCTATTAGCATCTAACAACCAATCAGTTGTAAATATAACTTCAGCATGCCTACCATCCGTTATAGCATCAATCCGAAGTGTTGTAACTTCAAAATTTTCTTTATCATTTATTCTTGGCGTTATGGTTCCATGTTTTTCACCTTTCATATTTATCATTCGAATATTTTCTTTTGTAAACATATCTTTCATTTCATCTGGTGTTGCTGTTGTTGCAAAATCAATATCTTTCGGATGTATATCCATGATAATATCCCTACAGTCATTAAACTTTGAAATTACATACTTTACAAAAAAAATATACATATATACCTTACTGCACCACCTGCGATTCTAATTTCATGACCATATTTTTCAAAAATTTTTAATAATGTTCTACTCTCCTCGGTAAATATAGATTTAAATGCCGGTGTATCTAATTTAGTGACAATAGGATTTTCACGAATTTTCAATTCGCCTTCCATTTCAATAAATTTTTTTATTTTAATTTGTTTGATATCTGATAGTTTACTAGAATATGTCCTAAATATTTTTGATTTTAGCTACAATTATTCAATTGTTCATATAATTTTGAAATTATTTTCATATGACGTCTTACTTGAAATGTTCTTTTAAATAGATCAAAGCAAATATTTCTTGATATAATAACTAACATATCTAGTTATAAATTGGAAAACATTTAATAATATTTCAAAAGAAAGTTATGATAAAAAATTTACTTATTAAATTTTAATCGCTATGACCAACTTATTAATTACTGATGATAAACGAGGTTGGTTTAACAATTGTTTTTTGACATTGTAGTAAAAAACAATAACATAAGTGACACTGGCAGAATAACAAAAGCGACAATTCTCCAAATGTTGAATAAAGTGGAAATGAAACACATGTTGATGGTCGAAACTCCGAAATTTTAAAATTCACAATTAAAACAAGGCAAAATTTACAATTTTCAAAAATTTTTAATTGCGATTGTATACATATTATCGAAATTCAATTTTAGTTAGTGTGAAAGTGGAACCAAAGCGGAAAACGAAATCGGTGGACGATTGTTGTTGTTAACACAGAACAGCAGAACAGCAAAATCAGCTGTTCCAAAAAAAATCATTCTATTCAGAGATGTCAAAAAATAGAATGCCACGAATAAAATAGAATTTTAGTATATATTATCGCCGTGGGTTGAATTCGTGGTGGTAATTACAATTTATTCCCATTTATATATTTCTATTCTATATGAATTTTGACATTTCGCCGCGGAAAATTCATCTCATTCTTTTTTAAAGTTATATATTTTGAAATGGCTTATATTTTCTAGTTTTCAAATCCTTTGTTTAATTGTTTTTCCAACTTCATAAGTTATTCAGAATTTTCCCATTTAAATGGTAAATTTCCAACACTCTTATTATTTATGCCACTACATATTTACATTATATTAAAATTTAATATGATTGATTAAATATGACTGATGTTCCAACTGCATTTGTCAAGTTAAACAAATAAAAATAAAATAAAAAATGGAAATTGTTTATAAATTGATGTTTTGAGTTTTTGATATAGCCACAGACACACTTTATGCATGTGTATATTATATTATATAAATTTGTATACACTATACACATACATACATTGTTATTCTTCTAACGGTACAAAAATTTTACATCCGTTTATTTTCAAATTTTTTTAAAAAAGGAGTGATGCAAAAGCACGAGGGACACTACATTATATGTGAATATTTGTAATACTATAAACTGATTTTATATTTGTTATACTATTCAATGTAGATATAAATAAAATAACAGTATAACAAATTCAAATAATAACGATATTTTTCTTTTAAAAAAATTATTCACATTAAATTTAACACCCACACAAATGCATTTTAAAAAGGGAAATACACAAAATTTCTATATAACACAAAAATTATGTTCTACGTACTGATGATTATGAGAATTTTAATATTACATACATATATCAACATAAATACATAAGCACAGACTGTATAATACTTATCAGTGTATCAAATAGGATGCGTCTTTTATTTTTATTATTATATTTTTTGTATGATTTTATATTTTTCCTCTTGAATTTTATTAAATTTTTATTCGTCCTTTACGTTTCGTATGTATGTAGATAAAAGTATAAGAAATGATGAATGAAAATATTTTAATTCAGTCTGATGCTGGACAACATTCTGTAAGGATATCAATATAGAAAAAGAAAAAAATTATCTTTTTCGAAAATTTTATCTCTTTTATTTTAATTTTTTTACTTTTCTTGCTTTTGAAAATATTAAACGTGAATCATATTTATAATAATTTGTTAAATTCTTAGATAGTGTTATACAAGTATAACAATATATAGTGTTAAAAAATTTCGTAAAATTTTTGTCTTAACATCAATAACATGTGCTTGCATATTTATGCACATACATAGAATATATATATATGTGTACACAATATAACAATATAATGGTTTAGTGTGAAAATTTTACCGTAATTCCCGTAACTATACGTGTGTAATAAGATTTCACTTTCTTTTGAAAATTTCGAAAACAAAAAAAAAAGGAAAAACAAAAATAAATTTGAAATTTATTTAATTTTTTTACTATTGCTTTTATAGCATAATAATATGTATAAGTACGTAGAATTGTAGTGCAAGTGTTTATAGAGAAAAAAAGGAAGATATTTTGATTTTCAAGGACATTCAATTAAGAAAATAGCGTACAAGTGCTTTGTACATAAATAAAATTGTATAAACAGACGAAAATGTGCGGTGTATGATTTTGTTTTCTTTCTTAAAATTCTGATGTTTGGCTGTATTTCGGGGTGACTGTCAGTCCGTCTGTATGCTGGTGTGTCTGTCTGTACAAATCAATATCCCAATTCCGGCTGAAGCGACTTTCTTTAAAAATTTATATCTCAGTTTACTTTAAAAATTGGACGATTTGATGAACTTTTAAGATATGTCTTAGGAACAGAACCTTTGCTACGAGTCGATTTTATATTTTTGACCATTTTAAAGAAATAATCAACAGAAGAAATCAGGTTTCAACAACTGAACTTTTACTATTGGCCGATTTTTCATTTTTTGCCATATCATGTAAATTAATTTCTTGATATTTAATATGTATTTAACTTGTGTTTGCTACTGAAAGTAACTGTTGCAGTTGGTTATGTGCTGATCACATCAGTTCTTTTTTTTCTCGTTTTGTATGCAGTCATAAAGAAATTGTTTTCAAATATTTTTTTTAACCATCTTTTATTCAATAATTGATATCCAATACTTTTCTATAAAACTTTTTGATTTTATTTTTATTTTGTATAGAAACTTTGTCTTTAGCTTTATTTCGCTAAAAGAAAGTAATATGGAACTGAAGTTATTTTCAATTCGGAATGTGGTGTTAAGTGCATACAGGGTGCGAACGAATGAAAAATTCATAATAGAATTCACAAAAGGACGGATTTGTTTTAATTTAATACTTTCGTTCTCCATTTATAAAAAAAAATTAAATAGTATTAATTTTGTATATTTTTATTTTTTTGTATACATATATATATATAGATTCCTGGCAATGGTATATATTTCATATATAAAATATATAGACGAAAGACAAATTGAATTGGTAGAATAAAAACCAAAAAAGAAAATGTAAAATTAATGAATGGAAACTAAAATGAAAATTGGGGATTATTACCCATAATGGTGCAAAGAAAATATTGGATTGTATTAAATAAAATTTTTCTCTTTCCGATTTTTAATCTTCGCCAGATTTATATCCTCCAATTTCCCTAGAATTCTATATATAACATAGAAAATTTAATATTTACTTTTAATTAATAAATTTACATAATATCGTACATAATTTTATAATAATCTACTCTTAATTACTTACAAATTAATCACGAATACGAAAATGGTGTAAAGTGTAAAATAATTTACATTTAATTTTAATTAAAAAAATAATACACAGTAATAATAAATATAAAATTAAAATTACTCTAGGGCATTTAATCATGTTTCATTTATAATGTGGTCAAATAATTAATTATGTATAGTTGTTTACTGCAACATTTAATATATTAAATTAATATTTATTCATGCATATGTACAAAATATACATATATGTAAAAAAGTATATTATCCAATAAAAATTTAAATTTTGAATTATTTTAATTGTAATTTATTTCAATAAAATGCTAAATACTTTTATTAAACATTAATATTAATTGAATAATTTTTAATAATAAATTATTTTAATTAATTTTTATTGTATAATATAATCTGGTATTGTGTATTATAAATATATATATATATATAAAAAATCAAAACCAAAATGAATATTTTAAGAAGTTGTTTAATTGGTGGTGGTCTTTTAATTGTCGTTTTAATAATATCAGCTATAACATATTATTTAAGTTTGGGTAAGTTTTATTAATTTTTATATAAATAAAATGTTAGTTTCAATTAAATATTTGTCAAAGTATGTATGCAATTCATGGGTTCGCTAAAATTTTATACAATCTGTGCCGCAATTAGTTACAATATTATGTTTTAGGCAATAACAAGGCATTGGTATATAAAGTTAGAGTAGTGCCAAAATAGTAGATGCAAATACACTAGTAAAATTTTATTAGTGTGAAATATAGAAAATAGCATTGAACTTTTATGTCGATAGCGATGAAAATTTTGAATTGAAAATCAATAAATATTATTGCTCTATTATCCATTGAAATCAAAATATATACCATTAATCTTTTTAAAATCGTTATTTCTTCTCAACATTTCTAATTATTAATTTGTAATTTAAAAATCTAGTTAAGATTTCTGTATATTTTCTATTACAATAAAAAATTTTTATTCTAAATTTTTAAAGCCGGTGTTTTTATCATGTGCATATAATATGTATATAAAAGAGTTTTCGATATAACATGCTTAAAATACTTTGTAAACATTTCATGAAAATAATTTATTCCAATTACTTTAAGGATGTTGCATTACACTAACATGATTTCTTTTTCTTTTAACATAATTAATTATTTTCTTAGAATTATTATTTTCTTTAAGTAGTTTTTACTTTATTATTTCATTGAAGCATGTAAACTTCATTATAAATTACTAACGTCTATGATATTTGATCGTTATTGTAGTTTAGTTTTAATGAAAAGAAATTGCATTATTAACAATTTGTGGCTTTTTAAAGTGCAATAAAAAAATGGAGAGGTTTAATTTAAAAAATTGCGAGGGAAAAAATATTTCAATGCACGGAATATTTAATACCCTTTTATTTTTCTTCAAAAAATTAAAAGGGTATAGGCATTTAGGAAAATCTTTTTAAATAATTAATCTACAAAATTGAATTAAAAGTTGTTATATCATTTAGGTACTATCTTTTTATAACAGCGAGTAGCATGCAAATTATATTGAAGCATTCAAGTTCAATAAAATTGTAATTAAGTAAGAAATAAATGCATAATTCATTGTTTAATATTAATTTTGCAAAAATTTTGTTAAAGGATCTTAGTACTCTTAATTATAACCTCGTACAATTCATTTCTAAAACTTAATTTAAATTTCAAAATTAAATTTACTCAAAACTTAATGTTATCTACATCTGATATATTAATATGGGTATAGATATGCGGTTATCGAGAATTCCGTCATTCCTTCTGGTTATCGCACGGAATGGCTTGGGGTTTAACCATAGTAAAAAATTTAATCTGTGTATTTAAGAATACAGCCCTTCAGCAGTTTTTCCTAAAAGAGAAAAATTTCAGTTACATTAATTATTAAATTTATTTTTGGTGATTTATTGAATCATAAAAATGGTACGATTTGTAATAAATAAATTAATTAATTCATACTAGAAATATGTTACCAGAATGAAAATGAAATCGATTTGATATTGTTTTTTAAATTTGCAAACTTCCGTCCCTTAATCTCCTTACATATTTTGAAACCAAACCATCTCTTTACTACCACCACACTACTATGCTTTAAATAATCGTCTTCAATTCTATAGAATTTCCCCTACAACATAAAATATAAGAACCTGAAATTGAAAAAAATTCATTATAAATTTTCATATTTTGTACATAACACACATTCTATGTTATTCTAAGTTATTCTATGTTATTGCTAAGAGTAATATTGGAAATACATACTCATAGATTGAATTCAAAGTATTTAACTTACTAAATCGAATTAAATAAAATCAAACACGCTTCACATAATACGAGTACACAATTCCTTTCTGTGCAGAACTATAGTGCCTGGCTGCAATGTTAACCACAATAAATGTGAAGAAATAAGACACAAATTGTATAGATTTACATATAAACATAATATACGTACATATGTATATAAAAATTACATAAACTTTGAAGAAGATAGAAAATCTAAGAATTTAAATCTTGATTTTTATTATACTAACAAAGTATGTACATATGTACTCAGTAGTCAAAATTTATTCTTACATACTCTTATAGAGTTAAAAGAAAGCAAAAGTTCTTAAAAACATACACACACACTTAAGTGTAAATATAAATTTGTAGTGTAAAAATAAAATTGATTTTTAAGAATTTTTAAAAATTTTCAACACTTTTCAGTACAATAAAAAAAAAGGAAAATTCCATTGTTTTTTAATTTTGTTAAAAAAAAAAAAACAAAAAAAAATTTTCATGCTCCGCGCATTTTCATTGTTTTTACTTCACTTTTCTATTTTCTGTTGAAAACTTTATGCATTTGTAAATAAGAAAATTAATTTTCAGTACACTCTCATCAATTTATTTATGGAATATTTTCTTTTTTTTTTTCTTATATTAATGATCCTGACAAAGTTTTATAGAGTATTGTAAATTTAAATAATATTAAGTATAATGTGGGATACTTTCTTTAATAACTTTAAAAATTATGAAATTTCTCTTTAAACAGAAAGTTATTAAGTTGCAAAAATTTGTCAATATGTTGATATTAACCCTTTAAATCCTGAAAAATTAAAATTTTTTTTGTCAGAAAATACAATTTTCAAAATCGATTGAGACGATGCTTTTAGGGTTTAGGAAATTTGAACTTGCATACTTTAAAACAAAAAGTTATAGCCGATTAACAACTTCTACTGAACTGAGTCTTTAACGTTATTCCCTCGAACTGAACCAAGTTAGCATAAAAAATGTGATCTGTATTTTAAAAACAATCAGAAATGATTTACAAAATCGTTGTGTTCTATTAAAAATTTTATTCATTATTGTAATTTATAGAGCTGTTCAAAATTTACTTACTCATATGTGATCAGGTTCATTCAGTCGAAGTCGGACGTAAAGGGTGAAAATTACTATATTTTTTCAGAAAAACACTTCAAATCTAACGTCTATCTATGCTAATCGAATAATTCAAGAATTTTGGTAACATTTCACATCATGAAATTTGCTGCGGTAATTCAGTTGATTTGGGACTATGCTATTTAAATATGGGTATTCCATATAATAGGTAAAATAGCCTAAATTTCTATTTCCCTGGCGGTTTTTTTTTGACATCATTTGCTTCCATATGTGTGTTTTTGGCTGCAGTTCTACAAAAAAATGTCAAAAGTTGATTTTATGTCAATTTTAATATTAATAAACATATTTTTCTTTCTTCTTTGCATTTCGAAAACGCATTTTATGGAATTCGGAGCGCCTAACGTTGTAAAAATATGTTAAAAAAATACAATATGTAATGTCAGATACACTATCAACTAACGAAAAACTGACGGAATTCATACGCATTTAATCCTTTTTATAAGAAAACTAAATTTAATTCTTGAATTTTTTCTTTGACATTGTTGCAAATCTATCTATGTATGTAGAGAGCGCGTGTTAATGAAAAATCTCCCATTAGAATAAATTTCACATTTTGGGTCTGTTTACAATATAAGCTAATCAATGATAATTTTAAAGAAAACTTTTATTCTTTTATTTCATAAATTTATTCCAAATTGATTACAATTTCACTGAAAAGGAAAACAAAATTTTCCTCGCAGTTATAAGTTTTTTTTTGTTTTAATTTTTTTTTTATATAATAAATATGCGGGAAAATTTTATTGATTTCTTTATACATTGTTGTCCATTGACAATTTCTTTAAAATTCGTAGAAAATTCAATTCAATTTCTGGTTGTTTTAAAAATGGGATTAATAATTTAAAGAAAATTCAAACAATTTATTTTAAATTTATTGGCTCTTATTATTGGTTTCTTAATATGTGTATATACACCATATATAATGTTATAAAAATAAAAATATGAATGTTTTTTAAAAAGTATTGTGATTATGATAATGAAGCGAATTGAAATTATTGAAAATTAAATTACTTGACGACTCTATTAAAGTTTAAGTTTAATCAAAATTTAATTTATTAAATTAATAAAGATATTAAAAAGTTAAGAATAATTTGAGAGAATGTAGGTTTAGGAAAATTTGAAAGACCCAATTAAATAATAAAAAACTTCATGAAATCATAAGTATATGGATTGATACTAATTCAAAAAATTTAGCCGTTTATCACCTGATCCACATTTTAGCTGTAATATCAAATCAATTCAATTAAAAATAGCTAATTCAGCTTTTAGCACTTTAGTGCACATTTATGTGACATACTAGACGGTTTTCTATAACGTATTTGTTAATAAGAGTTTAAAATTATTTCATGACCCAACTTAAAAATGAAGATTTGATTTCTAAATGTCAACATCCATTATTACATATTATAATTGCAACTTATATCCTAAACACAATAGGGAAATACTTTGAACAAAAGTTGAATACTGAAAAGAAATAAAATTTAAAGAAAAAAAATGTTGACTGTTGAAAAAGTGTGCCATATTAGATGGAACTGCACGTAATAAAACTTTAACTGCGTAATCACAAGCTGCAACTTAATTCAAAATTAAATTACAAACGATTTATCACGGCGAATGTCAAAATTCAAGTAGAATACACCATTTACCTAAATAGGGTCAGAAAAAAAAACATCAGCAAAAATTGCCGCCGCGAGTAAAATAGCCTAAATTTTAATGTGTGTGTGTGACATTGTATACAAAATACTAAACAGTTGATTTGGCCGTTCCGATTTACTGAGTTAACAACAGAAATTGCTCGTCATTGCCGTTAATCGGTTTTATTATGTTTTTACATTTCACAAGCTTTTGATTTTACAGTTGTAGTGTGTCATCATAATAAGTCATATGTGATTAATTTTGACACAGTTGCAAATTCTTCTTGCACTTCATCATTCTTGCAGTTTTCACGAGTTGCGTCAATTTGTTTAGGGTGTTTAAATTAATTGAACCACTTTGCCAAAGTAATGAATTATTGTAAAGTAAGTAGTTACATATTTCAATAAGATTTTAACCAAAATAATAAAATAAAGGATTTTGGTTAAAATCTC